ATAGTTAAACCTGCTTTGTGCGGTACATAGGGACCGCATAAAAGAAATCGCACAAAAAAATATTCGAACTTCATAAATATTTACATGTAACAAACAGTTTTGTCGACATACTACAAAAAACTTTATGTGGTGAATAGGGATCGCATAAAAAAAGTCGCACTTAAAAAATATGTCAATTATTTACGAAATTTATGAGAAAGTACTTCCAAACAAAATAAATAATTAAATTCCACGTGGAAATATTTTAAAAGCATTTAATTTCTCGTTGTGTCTACAAGGAGAAATTTTCCAAAATGCTCATACATAATTCACTGTTACTCATCGTAATCCAAAGCGCGTTTCTTCCTGTGATGAATTAGTTCGAAATCGCTTTCGTCATATGAAGATAAAATTCCAATTTATTTTTTGGCACCATAAAGTGATAAGTTTTTTGTCACAATGGTCAGTTTCTTGTGAATGTCACAATAATCAGATATGCGTGATAGAACTCTTTTTTGTAATTTCATACTCCTTTCAGGATAGTATATATTTTAATAAAATGCTTTTCCGATGTGTTCGAAAGCTGGATCCCAGTATATATTGTATATCCACTCTCAAAAAAATACAATTCCCTTCATGTACGTCTTCAAATTATTGATATTATAATTGGCATTGAAAGTTTCGTCTTTAATCATGTGCGTACCGCAAGTGCTTTGAGAGAAAGCAGTGGAACGTGCATTGTTGAGAGAATTTTTATAACCAATGAACAGAGCTTCTTGAAGTGTATGTATGGACATTGATAGAAAACATTACTGGGGTGCCAAAACCACTGAAATTCATGTACCACACATAAAAAAGATAGCACAAAAATCATACAAAAATAAAATTGCACAAAAATAAAATTGCATAAGAAAGGACCACACAAAAGCAGGTTCAACTGTACAGAAAAGGCAACCTAGATGTGGATTTCGTGTGCGACTATTTGAAAGGAATTTTTATTAAGAAATAGTTAAAAGAAATAATATGAAGGAATGAGCAAACATCTTGGTCATTACAATCCTGCATAAGAAAAAACACAAATAGCGTACTGTTGAAATTGATGTATTGCGTGCTTATGGGTCGCGTGATTCGAGATGGTCACGTACAACTTCTCCGAGAAAATTAGTACGTAAGCATATTTTCCTTTATGATTGAATGAGAGACTACGCATAATATGCGGTCCTTTTTTTTTAAAAGAGCTTTTTGTTAAAAAATATATTATACAGTAACAAATACATATAAGAGATTTCATTCATTCCTCAAATAAATTAATTTTACGAATTTTTTCTTGTTTTTATTTTCAAAAAAAAGCATCACCACAATATATACATTTATATACTCACAGATTTCTTTAAATTTTATCTCTGAAAATAATCGCTGGAATAATCTTAAAAAGTCGACTTTCATCGAATCATTTGCTTAAATAAAACTAGTCGAACCGATTGTGAAAAGCCGGTTCTCCAGCCTAGCTTGCATCGGTGCTCCATAAATGTTTTTTCTCTAGTATACACATCTTAGGTCTTAGTAAAGGTGGTTCCCCCAAAATGTCCTGGTGTGGTCCACTGGTCAATCACAATCGACTTAATGCCCATCCCTCGCAGGCAGGTCCGACTTTTACATAGGAGATCAGGGCGTCAAGAAGTTTCCATACGTCACTGACTACGTTCTTACATTCCTTAGATTGCAAAACACCTTTTATGGTTACGCTATAACACATGTTCAATTGGCATCATGTATAGTAATCTTGTAAGCTAAGAACCCTGAACAACATTGATGAAATACAGAGATATCACAGCTGTATGAAGTTTGGTAAAGTCATGTTTGAAAAGGCTCAAAGGTAATGTGCCTATATAAAGGTTATAGTTTCAACACATCGTGAAACCCCTGAAGATTTTGACAGTTCATCGTAAATAGAGTCTTACCGTATGGTAGATAGAAACAAATTCTGTTTGACATTACTAATCTCGATGTTTTCCACGTGGATGTGGTAGTGTATTTGCTTCAAAACTCTTACAGAGTTCATAACTAACATATGTGATGTCTCAATCTGCTTGCATCCATTATAAATTGACCTTTGATCACTGCAGATAACTTTGTAAATATGCTGGTGCCCAAGACTTAACAGTGAAAGTGAACGTAATCCTGCTTCATCCAACCATCGTAAAAGGATGGGAAACAGAAAAGACTACATTGTGAACAACGATGTTAATGAGCGTGTGTTTGAACCTGGCTGTGGATTTTACAGTGTACAATGGTGTTACTACACATTAAATGGTGGACAAATATTTCGTTAAAAAAATCAACTGTTGCTCCATGGAACCAATTAAGCTTTGAAACGGGTTTACTCCCGTTGCAACAAATTTTCAATCTGCAAGACCTAAAAGATGCATATCTAACCAGTTTATAGCCAGTCTATATCTGTTCAACAATCGTGATAAAAAGCAGGGAGAAGTATCTGTCCTTTTCAAAATTGCGACATTTAAAAAGGGGTAAAAATGTCAAATGATTAAAAAAAGGATTGCTAGAGGTTATACCAACAACCCACCCAAAGCTTAACTCTACCACCTTCAAATAAGTTATGAGTAAGATATTTAGCATCGAGCATTATTGTATAACATCCTAAGCATATTAGACAATAGTTACAAATACTAACTGTTAATTCATAATTCACTTGGAATGGAGGGAAAGACGAATCAATATCTTAATTCAAACAGTTTCCCAAACTACAATAATAAAATCCACTCAATCATTTTCGATTCAGTTGTCTGATAGAATCCAATAGGCTTTAAATGAGTCTTGGCACTATTGGCGGCACTTTTTCTAATGAACTGCATTGGCTCTGTCGAGAAAAGAATGAAATCCAATAGTTAATTGTTTTATAAGAATCTATATTTGCGTAGTAGAAACCCACGCTGCGATAAAAGTCAATATTCATTAGTCAAAAGAATTTCAACATTTGCCGCCATATCGGTTAAGGAAATATCTGTAAGGAGTTTCTAGATAATTGGACTGCTTATTCCGAAATGCTGGATTTTTTTCCCTTTCCTAAGTCTGCTATGAAATACATAAAGTCAAGTTATTTGAAAAATCAATGATTTCGTGACGAGTTTCTAATAGTATATGTATTTAAATCCATGTGGTAAAAATTGCATTTTGAATCTTACAAAGGACAATCCCTTTTTAGCTTATTCTTGCTTTATGAAAGGTATAATGTTTATTCTAGTATTTATCCCATCCCTAGATTTGATTTTAACTTACGTCGCTCTAACATGGAGCTATTAGCAACGGACCTCGTACTTTTGAACCACTGCCAAGTGCGAGGCCGACATCTGAGCTGGAATTTCCCTCTTCTAACTTCGACACCACTCCTACGGGAGGACATTGAGAACGTGCATCAGTGCTCTCTACATGGTGGGTTTTCAGTGGCGCCAGGATTCGAACCCACAATGCTCTGGATACAAGTTCATGATCATAACCACTATGTTACCATGGTCATACCGCAGGGAAATGATGAAATTAGGAATTTGATCAAATCCCTAAGGGATATTATCAATTCACGGAAGATGTTAAAATAACATCTCTTGAAGGTCATTCCCCTGATGAAAGTAAGTGATTTGATCAAGTACCTGTAATGTTTCAGTGAAATGATGAAATATTGTCAATGTTTAAAAGTGTTTATTTAGCAAATATGGTGTATTAATAAAAGTAAAGTAATACAACAATAGTCATTGAAATACAAATAATATTAATTTAAAACTAATTAACAACAGAATTAGATAATTAGGTTAGTATTTTGTTTAAAAAAAACTATATTTGTAGTAAAATTTCAAACATTTTTTTTCATGAATATAATTAATAAAAAAAAATTTTATTCATTTTTGTTAAAACACGTCATTGATTTGTGTCATCTCGTGTTACAAAATATGTCTTTTTTACATTGTAATTTGAATTGCTCACAACGATGCTTCTTAAATCCTTGACCTTCAAATAAGGATAATTTTACTGCAGAGTTTGGTTAATCTGTGGAATTATTTCGGTAAATAATGTTATAGTAGCTATTTGATGAGCGTTTCTAGGTAGCCATTCTTTTACAATTCCGACTTAGGTTTCAATTCGGTGTTAATTATTTTTAAATATAATATGATCCCCACTGTGTTATTTTCTTCCAATAGACCCCAGAAGGCCGATCCTGGGGAAAGGGAAGTGGTAGCAATCGAAAATAGAGCTGTGCGTATCCTGACTTGTTCATTTCATCTTTTCACTAAAACAGTTCAGGAATTTGATCAAAACACTTACTTTAACCAGGGAAATGACCTTCAAGAGACGTTATTTTAATATCTTCCCTGAATTGATCATATCCCTTAGGAATTAGATCAAATTGTTAATTTCCTCACTTCCTTCGACCGCCACATTTGTATCATCACGATGACTGTAAACAACAGCAAAACTGTTCTCAAAACATATCTTTATTAAACCAATCAAATTACTGTACTCGGAACAAAAATTAATTTACTTAATTCTGATTGCTTTAAAACTATTAATCATTTCTTGAACTTATATATCTCTGTCAAACATTTCATGTATAACACTCAAAGAATTCAGGAACTTGTTGAGAAATTTCCTGCTAGTAAATTTTTCTTTAAAAAATCCGAGATCGGCTGACCATTGTAGCAAACACCTCGGAAACAATTAATATACTTAAAAAAATTAATCAGTTCCTACTTAGGTAAACAAAGAAACATTTTATTTTAGTTACTTTTTAAAATAGTTACAATTAATAAAAATATGTAAATATATATGACAGAGTCACACTATGAAGTGACAAAATAGAAAGTGAATTTCCTTGCAATTTTCCATTTTCCTTTCTATATAGAGTGTTGGACTCTTTTCTTCTTGTTTATTGCTATTTATTCATTAATTAAATTTAATTAATTTCATTAAATAGTACTGTAAAAAATAAATCACATTCTCAGAAATTAGGCTATCCCATGTGAGATTCGAACCCACGTTTTTTGGATTACAAGTCCAACGCGCAGTCCCTTGCGCTACAGGGATACAATGGAACGATTATCCTTTCTATATATGCTGTTGAACTATTATTAATGTTTGTTAATATTTATTCGTCTTTTAATTTAATTGACTAATTTATATTTGAAAAAACTGTATTGACATCAAGTGTCATCCACTACAAATTTTAAAAAATGTAATTGAACTTGAATGGATGAATTTAAAGTATATTTTATGACCGATTGAAAATTTGAGCAAGAATATATATATATATATATATATATATATATATATATATATAGGAGAGAGTGAACTAATATATATAGTAGGAATTAAATCATCCTTTATAGACTGCGTTGCCACTCATCCGAAGTTTTAAAAATGAATTACAACACTTTAAAAAATTAATATCTTTGATGATGTTAGGGTGCTTTAAAAGTATGTTTCCGATGTCAATAATCCATGAGAGTTTCCCTTTGCAATACCAATAAAGTTAATGAAAATATTCACTTAAAACAAATACCCTCGAAATTTAGAAACATGCAGTTTTGCTTTATTTATTGAGAACACTCAATGACTTCGCTTCATTTTATTTTAATATTCTCCCCCCATCGCTTCTCATATTCAGGAATTTTTAATAAAGCTAAGCATGAAGCATTTCTATCGAGATGTGTTCTTTTTAATTATTAACGGTTTGTCTGAACAAAGTATAGTCGTAATCAATGGGGTTAATTTGTTTCATTTAAGAAGACATGCGTTTCAATTTCGAGATAATTATTAATTACATTCGTAATAAGCTCTTTCGATGGAAGGGGGATAAATATTTAAATATACTTCTAAAAGCAAGAATTTATAGAAACACCAGTTTGTTCTAAAGATTACTTTGTTGTTTCGAAGATCAAAGCAAATATTGAGTTCAGGTCACAAATTTCTGAAGGCCGTATGGCGTATGCATTTTAAATCCGTCGGGGATAAAATTCCTGTTGGAGAGGTATGGGTGGGATGAGTGAGAGCAAGCTGAAGTGTCATCCTCGTCAATTGACTGGGAATCAGAAAGAAGAGCTCAATCCCCAATAGCACTTATGCTCCTTTTCAGGAAACATTAATTTAATAATGATTGGTACAAGTTTTTAATCTTATTAATAAAAATTATTCACTCGATCATTTTCAATAATGATCCGTGAATATATAACCCTCCCCCCACACACACTCCTTTGTAATTTATTTTGGTGACCGCTTCTAAGGGCATGGAATTTGAAATGACACATATACTTAATTAAGTTCTAAGATTTTGTACTGTGGAGGCTCAAAAACCTCAAGTAGGTAGGGTGGTGAAGTTTGGAGAACGAAGTGCATGCTCGAAGTCGTCCTCGTCACCTTATTAAGGTCCAGAATTATGAGATGTGTTGTTAATAGCCCTAGAGTGTAACTTCAAAATATAACTTTAAAAAATATAAATTTTAAAACATAGCATATACACCTGTAAGGTCACGCTTCCAAAGGTGTTTAAGTTAATTAATCACCAAAAAAGATTAATATACTCCTCATTCCTATAGATGACGTGAATTTCCTTTATCCGTAGCAAATAGTTGTAAAACAAAAGAAAGGAATTCACGTTTTTGTTTTCAAAGTGCTAATATTTTTAATTAGTCAAGCTTGCTTGGAACTTTAACACTGGGGGTTTCGCGTCAGGTTGACCACCTGACCGAACACATCTGCTCATGCACTTCAGGGACCATGGTCGCATATACTAAGTTGGGCACAGTAGGTCTTGGCCTTTATGGGCTGTTGCGTCACTGAGTTAAGTTAATTAATCAAATTAATTATCAATTACGAATATTTAATTAAATTTTAAGTACTATATGCATAGGATTATAATCAATCGAAAAAAAATCAAGAGCTCTGGGGGAAGGGGGCTCGGAACCGAGGCCCCTCCCCTTGTGTGCGCCACTGATTAGAATACTTAGTGCATGTATACATTGCTTCAAAAAAAAAGAATTCAGTTACCAATATTTTAAATTTCTTCTTTGATAATACTAACAAAAAAAGTAATACAGTAAAAACAATTTATTTAACAAAATAGCACATCATTCTTCTGCCTACATAATCCAGAATTTTTTTTAGAAAAGAAAAAGATTTTAAGCATACTAATACTTGTAAGAGAACAAGAACTAACATGAATTAAGTAAAATTGAATTATACCACGTTGTTGATGAAGAAATTTTAAGAATTTCTAATGAGACGCTGGTAAATTTAATAAATGCAATTATTATGGATGAATCAAAGAAAATTTGTTAAATAAAAAAAAGAGTTCTTTAACTAAATAATTCTAGAAATATGTTATAGCTTTCTTAGCCCTGCATTAGCAATCAACTATTGATTGCTCTTCTAACATCTTTTAGTGCGCCTTAGATGAAAGGAAGATATTTTATTTTATTAAAAATTAGATTATATTTTATCTTCATCAATCATTTCTAAAATACAGTAGTACATTACTAGTACATTATTTTTGTATAGGTTGGAGGAAAGCTAATTTAAGTAGAAATTGAAAATTAAGTCGGAAGAAAAATATGGTAAATTTTTATGTAAATGTTTCAAATGCTGCTATATACGATAAAATCTGAGCAATTCCATAATATTATTATAGTGCTGCTCCTGGGGCGTTAAATACTTGAAAACCTCGGATTTCAGTTACCGTGAATGAAATTAAAAAATTCAAAATGGAATGTTCAGCTAACGATATATGTAAAGAAGTTTACCTATTAAAAAAATTGTGATCTTAATTTTTTTTTTCAAATTTGAAATTTTTTTTACAATAGCAATAAAATAGTTACTAAATAAAAAAGACAATTATTAATAAAATATTTGTTTATTTAAATAATGTACCTTATATATATATATATATATATATATATATATATATGTAATAATTCCCTCTAGCATTCTCTTTAATTAACTTTTTACAATATTGAAATAATCTTTTGATTATTTGGTTCAAAAAACTAACACTCTCATTTTAATCGTAATCGATGAATATTATTACATCAGAAATTCCTGTCCCGCACATTCTATCCAATCATAGCTATGATTGCGTAATCATCACGCACTTGCACTGTTGGTAAAGAATAAAAACAACTTGTGTAATGGCGTTCGTCGCTCTTCCTTTTTTGCCGTCATAATGTAACAGTGAATATAGCTGTTTCTCCGTGTTTTTGTGTTGTGTCCGTCAAGATGTCACTTCTGCTTGTCTCTTGTCCGCTGTGCTTTAATATCATCATGAATTTGTTTGTCTCGTCGTTGTGAAAGTGTATTGTAGTTTTGTCCTAAGCTTCGATGTGTGCGCCACAATAAAGAAGATATCTGTTCACTGAAGATGTATTTTTGATGAAAACCTGCTCACACAGGACAAAAATCAACCACTCGGCCAATACTTAACATATAACATATCTTCTTCGACTTTGTTTGCACCTTTTACACCTCCGCTATTGTTGCTGGTCGCGCCCGCTACAACTCATTACTTCTACGAGTTTTCTCATACCGAGCGGACGTACTCTCCCAGTCGTCCCGTCGTAGAATGTGTTTCATTGCTTAAAGTGCCTCTTTGTCTAATACTACTTACCTTTAAATTCAATATTAACTTTTTATTGTTGTTTACCTATGTTAATCATAATAAATATTTGTTTTTGTTATGGATTAAGGTTTTATTTCTCTCTCGTGAGTATTATCAACGTTAATTTTATTGCCGGCATCCCGCCGCATTTAGGCCTATCGCCCCCTATTTTCAGACTTCATTTATTTGAATAATAGTTGGTGTATTGGAACAACTATTGTCGCTGCACTGTAGAACTACAGTAGAAGCCACTCTTTCGACAACCCCAAGCAGCCGCACATCCCTTTTTGCAATTACAAAATAATATTTGCAATAGATGATCCGGAGCTGGCAATTGATTCATTGTTATTGGGATGAGCATCTCATTGAAATGCTTCCAACTCCAATTATCAATATCTACGTCATTTCCTAGCCGTATCTGGATTTGCAAGTACTCTTTTTAGATGTTCAAATGCTGCATCAGTTGTAGGAGGCAACGATGATAAAAGAACACTTGTATTTTTTGAAATTGCTTTTATGAAAGGATTGTATCTCAATGTATTCAAAAATCTTTAATTTTTGCCGATGCTCCGTATAAACCTAAAATACATGTTACACCCCGTGGAAATATATTATTCGCGAGTCTTCGTTGACATTTTTGAATACTTCTGCTGATTTGTGAAGATCATGACATTTCTCAAAATTTTTGGCAAACTTAATTTTGCCTTTATTGAAAAACGCAGATGTAGTATCACAACCCGTGGAAGCATGTAAAAAAAGAATATGTTCTTTACATTTTGGGAGAGTTTCTTTTAAACTTCTCGAAGAAAATATTTTTTGTTGAACTTTGCCTTTGGATGGAATCAAAAAATATATTTCATGATCCTCATTCACTAATGCCGTTAATATAACCAAGACGCCAATGTCTTCTGAAACTATAACAACACACACATTGTTTGTTTCTAAATTAATTGCTGTATCAATAATTAATTTGTCTGCATCGCTCTCCGCTTGGCATGTAAAAATATTATTATCAGCTAATTTAATTCTCAATATTTCTATCAAGCGGCTTTTATTTTTATTATTCGACAAAAATTTATCTTAAGCTATTTTCAAAAGGCATATTTTCATCGAATTCGATGTCTGCACATTTATTATTGTCTGACATTATCCATTGTTCGAAAACTGTAATAGAAAATATTTAAATACTTCATTAATTAATTTATTGCATTTTATTCATTTTTATTTTTTCACTTAAATTGACCTTTAATCATTAATTCAACTATTAATTAATTGATCTTCTCATAATTAACTTCATATTTCCAATCTACTTTAATGAAGAAATCAAAATTCTTATGCAGAAGTTTGATAGGAAAAAAATCGTTTTCAATACAACTTCCGTCAGAAATATACAAAAATTTTCATAAAATCGCCAAATTTCCACTTTTAAATATACACA